AGATCAAATCAGAAAGATTCCGATCAGATCAGAAGCATTCGGATCAGATCAGATCAGCAAACATGATTTATCACTTTATATTATTATAAAATAATAATAATAATAATAATAATAATAATAATAATAACAATTATTATTATTACAATTATTAATATTATGATTATTATTGAGGTGATTATTATTTTTATTTTTATTACTCCATATTATTATAATTATTATTGTTATAATTATTATTATTATTATTATTATTATTATTTATTTTATTATTATAAATAGTAATTATAATTATAATTACAATTATAGTTATAGAAATAATTATAATTAAAAATATAATTACAATTATAATTATAGTTATAATTATAATCAGTGTAGTAGGTATAATTTTTCATAACTTTAATTATAATTATAATTATAATTATAATTATAATTAAATATTTTTAGAATTATGACTATAATTATAAATTATATTTAAATTATATTTATAATTACAATTATATTTATAAAAATTATAATTATAATTAAAGAAATATTCAGATCAGATCAGATCAGAAAGATTCAGATCAGATCAGAAGGATTCAGATCAGATCAGAAGGATTCAGATCAGATCAAAAAGATTCAGATCAGACCAGATCAGAAAGATTCAGATCAGATCCGAAAGATTCAGATCAGATCCGAAAGATTCAGATCAGATCAGAAAGATTCAGATCAGATCAGATCAGATCAGAAAAATTCAAATCAGATTAGATCAGAACTTAATAAATTGAGATCAGAAACATTCAGATCAGATGAAGAGAACAACTTCTAAACAGGGGCGGAGATAGGGGTGGGCCAGCCTTGGCCCTGGCCCAGCCTAAATTTAAAAAATGTCTTCATTTTTAGTGTAAAAAATTCCAGGCAAATTTTTTTTTAAAAATATTCTTTGTATCGGTCCAGTCTGGCCCAGTGTGCTGGCTCCGCCCCTGCTTCTAAATCACTGGGTGAGTTGGTTGATAGTACATTAGTACACAAGAGTTTCAAGCATTAAACCACCCTACTTCCATCCGATGTAAAAGTTCTCATCTAGTATTCTGCGATCAAACTTAATTTTTTCTATATGGGACTTTATAAAATGTTTAATTTAATTTCTGAATATGTAAATTTATTTATTAAAAATAATCTAATCAATGAGAAAGATCAATTAAATTTAGGAAAATTCTTAGTGTACATGAGTTGTACACAAATTGTACACAAAACCCCCTAGTTACCTGTGTACATATGTAATTTTGTTTAAAAAGGGTGGGATTTGATGTTGAATTGCATGTATACACAGACAATTTACACATTTTGTATACATCTTGTGTACAAATTTTATGACCAGTCAAATAACATAAAGCGTCTCTGAATTCAAGTAGTGGGAGCCTAGGAGGGAGGGAATATGTTATAGAGTGCTCCGTAAAGGCTAGCGGTTGAATCAATGCAAAGACAATCTCAATGACACCAATTGCACCAATAATGTTTACCGTTTAAAACACTATGAAGTCACAATGACACCAATTGCTCTATGCCATACATCTTTTGTTTTCTATTTTTTATTGGCAGAGTATTCCGTATAATGGATGTAAAGTACCGTATTTGTTTTCTATGACAAATAATATTATGTAGTGAGAATTTTATCTCTCATATGTAATGCTTTTAAGTATTAGATATGTAATGCTTTTAGATATTAGAAGATAAATTTGCTAACAATTGAGCATAATAACTTTCTCCCTCATATGTAGTTCTTTTAAGTATAAGATAACAAGACTAAACAATTGAGCGTGATAATTCTCTCTCTCATATGTAGTTCTTTTACGCATAAGAATCTAAAAAGATAAACTTGCTAACAATTGAGTGAGAGAACTTCCTCTCTCATATGTAGTTCTTTTTAAGTATATAAGATAATCCGGCTAACTGTTGAGAGTTAAAATTTTCTCTTCCATATGTAGTGTTTTTAAGTATAACATAAATCAGCTAACAATTGAACGAGTGTCTTTTTAGATATAACAAGATAAGCTTGCTAATAGTTAGGCGAAAGATTTTTCTCTCTCATATGTAGTTCTTTTAGTTTTTACTACGTAGAAGATAATCTTGCTAACAATTGAGTGAAGAATTTTATTTTATTTTATTTCTTTTATTTTTTATTAACGCTTTTGTTGCATTAGCTTTAATTTCCGTAGCTTTCTACCTTCATTAACTTTTGTAATTCGCTCTCATAAATTTCTAATAAAAAGGGGAAAAACCAGGGGCTCTCACTAGAACCCCCCTCCCATATAAAAAAAGTATAAGATAAACCGGCTAATAATTAAGGAATATTTTTTCTATCATACATAGTGCTTTTAGGTATATGTCTTGATTAAGATAATCCGGCTAACAATAAAGTGGATAGTGTTTTCTTATATTTAGTTCTTTTAAGTATAAACTGTATGAGAAATCATCTCATCAGGCCGGCCTGACGGGCTGCCCCGTCCGGCCGAGCCTGTTTGGGCACCTTCCCGGTGGAATTTTTTGATGAAATTTTATGAGCATGTTACTCATCAAGTCTAGTTTGTCCATACCAAATTTCAGCTCAAAATTCGATCGGGAAGGTTGTCAAATGATTTTTGCAAGTTAACTGGTCCGGAATATGTATTTTCCGGACCAGTTAACTTGCAAAAATCATTTGACGACCTTCCCGGTCGAATTTTGAGCTGAAATTTGGTATGGACAAACTAGACTTGATGAGGAACATGCTTAAAAAATTTCATCAAAAAATTCCACCGGGAAGGTGTCCAAACGGGCTCGGCCGGACGGGGCAGCCCGTCAGGCCGGCCTGATGAGAAGAGCTCTCTAAACTGTATAACATGATAACAAGATAAGCCGGCTAAGAATCGAGCAGAATAATTTTCTCTCTCATATGTTAGCACTAATTTAATAATGAGTAGCAAGTTCTTATTTAACTATCATTCTTTAATTTTAATATTTATTGTATTCACTTAAATTTTATGTCACTCACTTTTTTAGGAATAGTATTTAATTTTTAAAATTTAATCTATTCATAAAAATTAATAAGTAGCAAATTCTAATGAGTGGTGTCAATTATTTTTCCTAATATATATACTCTTCATTGAATATATATTGTATGGATTTATACTTTATGGAATTAGCTGATTATACTCTTATTTTTCGAAAATGTAGAATCCTATAAAGTTGTTTTTATTTTAATATTTAATTTGATCTTGAGTAAAAATATATGCGCTGACCTCTCTTTTCCGTGCGTATGCACGGGTACTATATACTCCCTCCGTAACTTTTAAATCTTCCCATTTCAAAAGTAGGTAGATTAAGAATAGTGAAAGATGATATGAATTATTGAGGGTATGATGGGAAAATAGTAGAATAATGTGGTGGAATGTAGGATAAATCCAAAAAAAAGTAGTTGTAATAGTGTATTATTTTAAGAATTATTGAGGGTATGATGAGAAGATTTAGAAATGAGAAGATATTTTTGTTACGGACGAAAAAGGAAAGTGGGAAGATATTTAAGTTACGGAGGGAGTAGTAGTTTACCGTTTAAAACACTATGAAGTCACAATGACACCAATTGCTCTATGCCATACATATTTTGTTTTCTATTTTTTATTGGCAGAGTATTCCGTATAATGGATGTAAAGTACCGAGTATATACAGTAACCATTGCAAAAAATATCCCCCATTTCAAATTAAAAGCCCTTTGAGGATTTGGTCAATGAAAAGTTAACTTCTCACAAATATAAAACTAACAAGTTATATGTAATTAAAAACTATATAATAGAAGATCAATTGAATGGCAAATTTGATACATAAAGTTAGCTATTAAAATTAGCATGCATTAGCTTGTTTAGCGAATAGTAAATTGAGACTATCATTTGGACAGAGATAGTACGTAATATCGTAAATGTATGACATCAAACAACTTATCACCAGGGCTGGTCCTAAGGGGTGCAATGGGGGCGACCTCCCTAGGCTCAAGAAAATAGGAAGAAAAAATAGGCCCAAAAATATTTCTTTATATGTAGTGTGAGTAGACTTCTTTTTTTAATTTTTAAGCTCAATTAATTAGGCACAAGGTTTAATTTTTAAAATCAATGTAAAGAGGCACGTCTCTCTTAATTCTCTTCACATCTCTAGGCTTTTTAATCATTTTAATTACAAAATTACTAAGTTATGTTAAGACTCCCAATTCCAAAATTCCCAATCTGTAACATCCATTTAAATTGATTTGTTGTTTCCAAATTCCAAAATCAACAAGGGTAACGAACACTCCAACACTACAAAAAAACACGGGCGTAGTCACGGATTTAGTCACGGACTGCAGTGTAAAAATTCCGTGACTAAAAAGGTTAGTCACGGTCATCAGCCGTGACTAAATCCGTGTCTTAATTGGCGTGACTAAATGAAGTCACCGCCACATAACCGTGACTAAATTTAGTCACGGATTAGTCACGGTCAAGGACCGTGACTATTTTCATGCCGGAAACCCCACTCCGACGTGTTAGTCACGGCTTGTGACCGTGACTATAATTTTTTTAAAAAAAAATAAATATTAGTCACGGCTGTGGGCCGTGACTAATTTTTAAAATTTTCAAAATTTTCAAAAGGCCGCCCGCGGGTGTAACCTAAATTTTTGAAATTAGTCACGATTGTCGACCGTGACTAAGTTTTTTTTTTAAAAAAAAAATAATGTTTTCTATTAAAAACAAATAATAATTTCGAATTAACTGTAGTCACGGATAAGGCCGTGACTACTATTTTTGTTTTTTAAAAAACAATTTTCCATTTTTTTTTGAATGTTGTTTTTAAAAATTACTTTTTAATACGTATTTTTACAAATTAAATTTAAAAATGTTATTCTAATTTTTATCCATGTTTTTATACTATTGAATTATTAAAAATATTATTCTAATTTTTTAAATTTAAAATTACATTTTAAAGAGTAAAGACATACAACAAACTTAATAAATATTGTGACAAACTTTTAAATGTTTTGACAAACAACAAAGTACAAATGTATGATGATTACATGTCCCTTCGTGGGACTCCATTATGAAAAAAATTAGGATTTTCTTCTTCTTCTTCTTCATCATCATCATCAACAAGAAACTCATCTGGGTTCACGGGGGGGTCTTCGGGGTCAGGTCGGGTTCCTCCTCGGGGTGCTCCTCGGGGTGCTCCTCGGGGTCCTCCTCGGGGTCCTCCTCGGGCTCCATGGCTCGGTGTGCCACTACCTCCTCCGGATGACCTCGCAAAATCAAAGGACATAGATCCGAAATTCGGGGAGATCATAGGCATGCCACCATATCCGGAGTTGGGGAAAAATCCCATACCGCCCATGTGCGGAACTTGAGGAGTTTGCTCAGGGTGGAATACGTACGGGGGAGGAAAAGGCTGTTGCGGAGGCTGGAATCCGGCACGCATGTACCGTTCCATCTCCTCCAACCGGGCTTTTGTGGCCTCATCTGCTTTCCGCTGCTCCTCCCATCGCCGTTCGTGCTCCTCCAGTTCACGCTGCAGTGTAGCAATACGAGGATCTTCTCCCCGCCTTGACCGAGAAGAGGAAGCGCCGGTGCTTCGATCATACAAAATCCGTTGCCCCTCAGCCCCCAAGCACGGAACCCGGCCCTTGTAAACCCCGGCCGCCTCAATGGCCGCCTCATCATCCGCATCGGAATCGAGGTCGTCTTCCTGGGTCAAGCCTCGTGCCGCACGCTGCCTGTCAACGGATTCGTTGTACTTCGTCTGCATTTTCAAAAAATATTTTTTAAATGCTACATACTTAGATTTGATATGTTACTAAATAACAAAATATGATGCTACATACTTCGAAGTCAGCGAGGCGGGGTGGCAGATCGGCTTCAGATTCCTCGCCGTGCTTCGTCCAGCAATGCTTGACGAGCCGGAGAACACCAACTCTCTTCTTCTCAGGACCAGCCTAAATGGTGTGAAAAAGACTTACGTAAATTTTTTATAATGAAGGATTGTGATGGTGTAAGGTTTTTTGAATAGCACTTACAAGAGTTTCTTTATGGGCATTCTGAGATTTGCGACCCCCGTGCCACTGCATCTCCAAGGCCTTCTCGGACATCCGGTTTTTCTTACCGGATTCACTTCTGGCCAAGAATTTCGGATCAGAAGACCAATGGCGACAAAGGTTGGACCACACTTCATCCGAAACCCATTTAGGCTTTTTCGAACTTTTTCACGCACGTTTAAAAGTGGCGCGAAGCCAGGTCGAAATCCTAGCATTGTAGGCTTTAGGAATATCGGCACCGTTTGCGTGAGTCCAACGATAGCGAGCCTTTATTAAAACAAATTGGATTAATTAATCAGTAGGTATATATTAGGCCAATACAATCAGGGAGGGAACATTCATTTATTTTTACCTTAAACAGGTTCCACCATAGTTCGCGAACCTTGGGGTCAACATCCGAGTACGTGGCCCAAGTGCCAAGAAAGTGTCCTCCGATTATGCTTTTGATGCCTTTGAACACTTCTTCGTCACTTAAAAAAATTAATAGTATTTATTTATATAAGATTTGGTTAGATTATTTAACATTATATAAAATTATTGAAAATAAGGTTTCTTCATAACTACTTACAAAAGAACTTCTGCAGGGGTCACCCAAACAGCTCCTTCGTTGTTGCGCTCCGCTTCGGACATGGGCGCATAGTTAGGGCGGGGAGCCGAGGTCGATTGTTCGTTGCTCATCTAAAATATATTAATTTATTTTGTTTTTTGTTAGAACGCTTATAATAGAAGATCAAATTTTTATGTAAGTATTGTCAATTGTCAATGTATATAACATATTAAACTTCGTCACAATCAGCATACAGAGGTTGGTCGACAGCTTGCGTCTCAGAAGTTTCCAACCTTTGTTATGAACTCAGTAACAGCGGATAGCTGAGAGTATCCCTCACAATCAGCATACAGAGGTTGGTCGACAGCTTTTAGAACATCCTGAAATCTCTCAACCAAACCTTCATCCACATAAGGTTGATAAAATGTCGGATTTTCATCCGCATCAGGTTGATACGAGGTTGAGGCTTCAGGGGGGTCGTTAGGTGGTTGTGGGGGGTTGAACTGAGACGATACACCGTATGCGTCATATACCATTTGTTGGTCCCACCTCATTTCAGCACGGTCTCCCCACGCACTCATCTCTGGAGGGACGTAACGAGACGAACCTACCATTTGTGGTATAACAGATGGATCCAAAGGTTCGCCGTGAGAAGTCCAATTATAATAATTGGGAACAAAACCGACCGCGTACAAATCATACCCAACTTCGTGTGGGTCTTTAAAAATGAGATTTTTACACTTTGAACATGGATATCTTATTTTATCACCACTCATATAAGCCGGATGTTCAAGTGCAAATTCAATAAATTCCCCGACTCCCTCGAGAAAATTTGATTGCATTCCGTACAATACCGCATCTTTATCATACATCCAACTTCTATTTTGTTTATACATTATGCCTGAATATTATAATAAAAAATTATATGAAATGCAATGCACACAATTTTAAGTAATTTATTTCACTAAATATAATCAACTAATTTTCACTTTTTTTAAATGAAATGCACAGAATTCACAACAATAATGCACAAAATATACGTCCCCTAATGCACAATAATGCAGATAATTTCACTAAATTAAACATACGTTTAATTAAATCTAACTAATTCATTTAGTTACATTTAACTAAATTTAACTAGTTCATTCCGTCCCCTTTTAATGTATCACTACGTTTAAACCTACGTTTAGCTACCTAATTTAACTTAATTAACACATCAATAGCTACGTTCAAACCTACGTTTAGCAAACGAATTTTAATTAAATTATTTTTGTAAACCTACGTTTAAACCTACACTAAATTATTACGTTAATGACATTTAATCTTATTAGTAATACACAATTAACAATTCACTAAATTAAATAATATGACCAAATTCAACCCAATAATTTGAACATGTATATAAAGTCATTTGAATTAATAAGCAATACACAATTCACAATAACAATTCACAATTCACAAACATGTTGTTAATTAATTAACAACCTCACTAATTTAATAGTTTTAATAATTTAAATTGAACCAACTAATTCTAAATAAAAATTATAATTCAAATAACATACCTTATCTGCATAAACAGGGAAAATGATAGAAGATAGACTACATCCTTCGATCTTTCAAACGGATACTGTATATACTGGGAATGAATTGGTGTGGTTCTGTTCAATGAGCTGCTCCTGCATATATAAAAAATTTAGTCACGGACTTAGTCACGGATTTGTCCGTCACTAAGCAAAACCGTGTCCAATACGCGTCCAACACGTGTTAATGACGTGTAAATGACGTGTTAATCAAAGTAGTCACGGAACTAGTCACGGCCATGGCCGTGACTAAAGTTATCCGTACATAATACCGTTGCGAATTAAGTTAAGGGAGGTGAAAAAATTAAATTTTAATCATAGTCACGGGTATAGTCACGGATGTGACCGTGACTAAGTCGTCGGAATCAAATAAACTTCGCCGGAAACGGAAACGGGCCTATCGGAGGACTTAAGTCACGGGCCAAGACCGTGACTAATTTTAGTCACGGCCATAGTCACGGTCCAGACCGTGACTATTTTTTTTTTAAAATTTCCGTGACTAGTCCGTGACTAGTCCGTGACTAAACTAGTCACGGACCAAATCCGTGACTAAAATCCGTGACTATAACGCTGTTTTTTTGTAGTGCAAAGCGGTGAGTGCCTCAATAGTTTGTTAAGAAGTCAACCAATCGAGGAGCCCAATTCAAACAGCGGTTGGTGACCAAAAAACTTTTTCTTCCCAGGCTTCAAACAATCCAATGGCGATCGATAAATTGTTCTCGATAAAATGGGTGAATCGGGTTGGTATACATAGAGACGAGAAGATTAGAAAAGACACGCTCAAGTCAAAGGCCGGGTCAATGGAAAAAAAATTTTTTGTTAAGAAATGAAATCTTGAAATTCCGTGAGAAACATTTTTAAGTAATGTTTTTCAAAGTTGAAGATTCTGATGAATTATTTGCGATTGACTATGTGTCAAGAAAGGCTTAATGGGTTAGCACTTATGATACAATTATTGATGATTTTGCTTCACAATGTTCTACAAGAAAGATTTTTAAGTAATATTTTTCTTTTTATGTAATACTTGTGTTGTTATTTTTCACCAAATATGTAATTTAAATAATAATAAAATGAGTTATGTTTTTTATTTTATGACCTTTATTAGATAATTTTATTATAATTGTATTTTAAACAAGTATAATTTTATTGTTTTTCTTAAATATAAGTCCAAAATATTATCTCGCCCATAGGTCCAAAAAAAGACCGGACCGGCCCCTGCTTATCGCGATTCGCAAATAATCTAATGGTTGATAATTTCTGTGTACATAACTTTCATTTCATTGTTTGGTATATTATTAAAAAGCAAATTGTGTTGTCACAGTCGATAGTGAAAACGAAAGAGCTATTAGCCACATCAACTTTTTAGACGTAAACGGGAAGAACAATTTTGGGTTTGAAAACCAGAGTTGAAGAAAATAATAGAATCAGGCTAATATATATATGTTACGTACTACCTCCTTCCCTGAATTCTTCCACTTAGTCCTCTCACTCTAACCTTTAGTCGACCAACCACCATCTCCTTCCTAGGAAAAGCCTTTGAAACTGAGAATTGTGTGGTGGAGAGTTGTGTAGAGGAGAGAGAAATGCTGTGAACCACAAATTCTTTGCCAAAAAAGGAAAGTGAAGTTCTGTTTGGGACGAACGAAAAGAGAAAGTTGGAAGTATTTTCAGAGACGGAGTGAGTATTAATCTAACGAATCAAGTGAAAAGAACATACTACTAAAAGTGGTTATGATTAATTAAGAGGCAGCCAATACTGTAGAATTGACAAGGAACTTAATGGGGGGCAAATAAATAAAATCTATAATAACCCAAAAGGTAAATAACAAATAAAATCTATAATATTAATACAAAGTGCAATGAGCTCATCTATGTCCCGTAGCCACGCTAGTTTTGCTTTTAGGAAGAAAAGTTCGAAAAGGGAACAAAATGCATTTCACAATAGGGGTATTTTGTCTTGGTCACACATTCAAAAGTAGCACCAAAAAATGTAATTGATTCTTGTAACGGTAGCTTAAAATATACTTCGTATTGAAAATATGAAAGGTGCATATTTCTCAATTTAACAGAATTCAGTTATCAGGAAGTAAATTTATTTTATCGAGGATTAGCCACCCAATTATATGAAACTATACAACGATTAGAAAATACACACTTCGTATGTATTAATATCTTAAGATAGAGTGTTGTGCTCAGCTTCGAAAATGCATTCTTTCCCAAACTCACACAGTGTGAGTCACACACTCACACGGGTACAGAGAATTTCTATTATAGCATTCATCTTGTAGCATCGTAGAAATTGCTACATTATTATATATATTGTAACATTATTGTACCAGAAAATGTTACAATATATTGTAACACCATTCGGATGTAGTGCTAAAAATGCTACATTTAATTACACCTATTACATCATTTTGCATATGCTACAAAATTAAAGTCATGCTTTGTTGTAGTGTCATAAAATG